AGGGCTGCGGGCAGATAAACCAGATGGTGATTTTATTGAAGCACCAGGCTCGGGGTGCTCGGCAGGGTCGGGCGCGGGGCTGGGAGACGGGCCGTGGGATTTGGTCCATCCTGTTGGACTGTCAGGTGTTTGTACGTTCCTGCAACTTATTTTCTTTCCCTGTCTTGAATGTCGGAGCATGTTTCCCGTCACTCCTGCTGTTGATCACAGTGGGCCTGCCTGTATTTTTTTTGAAGGCGAATAACGGACTTGGTTTGTGTTGTGTGTTTTTAAGGGGTTTAGTCTTGGACGCAGAGAAGAAGGGAGCTGGTGTACAGCAAAGTGAGTTGGCTGCGCTCTGAATTACCTGCTGCCGAAAAAAATTTTCCCAGAGAAAGAGTCTCTGCAACTTTGCCAGAAATCAGCCTGTCCCGTAGCACTGTTTTGCTACATTCTGTGGGGAGATTAATAGCTCTTAAAAGCAGGAGGGACTGTTATGACCGCTTAGTCTGATCTCCTGCAGAGCACAGGATGGAGAATTTCTTCTGCTTCAGGTCCGTGACTTCTAGTAAAACAAGAGTGTTTCTCAGCCAGTGCAGTCAGCCCTGATTTATCCCCTCGGCTGTGGCGTTTTGTCTGATCCCCCTCTCTCCCTGCCCCCATCCCATGCCGGCCTCTTGCCTCGGGACTCGACTGCACGAGCCCGCAGCGTTTTTGCAGCCGACCTGGTAGACCGTGGTATCGTTGGGCAGGTTCGTTCCAGCCCTTTTTTGGCTAGGCTGGTAAAAGATACACTGCTCTCCTCGTTTTATGTCTTAGGCGCTGAAATTCTGGAGGTGTGAAGAGATTTGGTAGGACTGCTCTCGTGGGGCAAAATGTCCTGGTCTCACCATGCTCTGCCTGCGGCCCCTGCGCTTCTGGTCCCGGCAGACGGCCAGGAGACCAGCTGGGATGCGTCTCCAGCGCAGGTCCCGGGGGGGGGGTTCAGTGTAACGGCGTCTTTCCCACGGGCCGGGGCTGCAGTCGGAGCCTCGGCGCTTTTTACGTGGTTTTGGCCCGTGCGGAGCTCGGGGGATGCGGATGGAGGGTGACGAGCTGGAGAGCGCGGCTGTTGGGTGCCATTGGTGGCGTTGCCCACCTCGTGCTAGAGCCGCTCACGAGGGGCTTAAAAGCAGTGCAAGTCTTCGAAGAGGTTTTTCTTTTTCCTCTGCCTTCATGTTTCAAAGCAGCTGAATTATGCTTGGATTATTTCCCCAACCTTTTGTTCACAGCTCTGAGAACTCATGACTTGTTTTTAAAGGAAAGCTGAGAGTTTTACGTATTTGGGTGAGTCGCTTTTGGAAGAAGAGCCAGGCTCTTAACAGGATTGCGATGGTGTGGGGAGTCAGATGGTTTGCTCCGTAGCCCTGACCATTTCCCTTCCTGAGGTTTATCAGGCGGAGAACGAGGGAGCGTGAGACGCAGACACCTCTTACGAGCAGGGAAATGGGGGGCTGTGGGAAGAGACAACCCTCCAACGCCCCGTGCTAGTAATGACCCTCTCCAAAATGCTCCTTCAGCATCACCTTGCTGCAGGTGGACAGTTTGCAAAAGGGGTGATTAATAACACGGCAAGGCTGCTATTTTCAGAGCTTGCTATGACAGAACAGAAATAATTTATAAGGATTTTGAGCAAGTGGATTGTGGTCCTGCTACAGGGCTGGATTATTTCTTACAGAAGGAAAAATTCCCTGTAGAAAGGAAGAGAAACTTTGTTAGCGGAGGTGAGACTGGAGGACATCTACCACATGCAAACACCTGCAGCCCACAACGTGCTTAAGCCAGAAAGGGCCAGGGGCCGGAGCAGGAACAAGACAAATAAGGTTCTGGATCCGTTTCTGGCTTGGTGACCTTGGCCAAGTCCCTTCTCTCCCTTGTGTTCCTGTTTGTAAAAGGATGAGGAGAGTCTGTGGCTTTTGTAAAATGCTCTATGAGCAAAAATAGGCTTGTGTTGAGGACAGTGACCAGCTGCTTGAAATGAATAGAGCCTTTGTGGGGGGTTGCGTTCTCCCCCCCCCCATTTTAACTCCCAGTTATTTGTGCTTCCTCAGGGATTCAGGATGGGACAGCAGTTAAACAAATGGCAGAACTGTCTGTCTTCCATAGCTTGCGTGCCATTGAGCATTATCTGCATTTTGAACCTACTGCAGGGCCTCTGTTTTGCAAAAAGAAGTCCCTGGCTTGGCAGCTCCGTCCCCTTTTGGCTACCGAGGCTGGGGCCGATCCCGTCCCGGTGGGACAAGGAGGGACCAGGCTCTGTGGGATGCGCGGCTCTGCAAAGGAGACCGAAGGTCACCGAATCGTTATCTCTGTGGCTGTTGGCAGCCGTCACCAAGTGCAGCGTTCCTGCGATTATAAACCTTTGACTCCTTTCCCGCTGGTTGGTGCTCGTGCTGACGTAGGGCTCTGCTCAGCTCAGGCTTCCCGGGTCATTAGTCCGTTGGCAACCAGGGTGGTTGCTTAGCTGAGAGTCCTGCAGGGACGCTCAGCGCTCAGGGGTTGTTTTGGAGTGTTTGAAGACAAAACCAAACCAGAACTCTGACAAAACTAGATTTAAAAAAAAGAGTAATGGCAAAAACCTGCTTGAAAAAAATAACATTCTGCTTCCCCGGGTTTGTTCTGTGGCTGAGATCGGTTTTGTAGCGCTGTGAACTGTGTGGTCCGCTCGGCTTCGCCATGCTGTTAAACAAGGCAGGGTTCTGCCCCAGCCCCAGCTGTGTTTCGGGGATAGTCAAGTGGCAGCTGATTTTTGCTGTTCTGCTAATTATAAAGTGCCTGAAAGTCACTTAACATTATTTTCAGGAGCATTCTGTCCTGGGTGAGAGCACATGTCACAAGCCTGTGGTGCTTCCCCTGAGCTCCTCTCCCGTCAGCTCCCAGGGTCTGCTGCTCATGGAAAAGAACTAGAAACCCCCACGTCGTGCCCGGCTCTCCGTGCTGCCCGCTGCTCCCAGCCATCCTGCTTCCCATTGCTTTTCCAGCCCTCTAGCTGTTTGCATGTGTGGCCGTGAGCAGGTCACCCCGCCCCAGTGCCTCAGTTTCCCCTGGCAGCGTGGGGACACTGACGCTGCTCCCTTTGCAATGGGAGGATGAGAAGTGCCCTTGGAGCATGGCTGGTAACGCGTCCTCTGGCATTTCTCCTCTGTTGCCTGATCCTGTCCTTGCAGGATTCTCCGAAAGATTGTGGGTCCTGTGGAATGGTCCTAGGAAGCCTTTAGACACCACCTTGTTTGGTTGTTTCCTAAAACCAGGAGGTCACTTGCTTGTGAGATGACCTTAGATCGGTCCTGTCATAGGCCTGCAGCTCTGTTTCCCAGTTCGGTAAATAAGGATAACTATTTGTAAGGGAACTTTGAGGATTCAGCAGTGACCGCTTGACAGAAGCCTTGCAAACGCGTGCCAGGCTTTTGAAGGTCAGGGCTGCTCGCAGCCGCTCTGCTCAGGGATCCCCTTGCAGACGTCTGAAATACCCAAACCCTGGCTGGTGACCTTCTCCGAGACAGACGCTGCTGCTCTTCATTGTGCCACTAACCATCCCCAAGACAGCCTTTAAGGGCTGCAGAATTTTAGCTGGAGTTTTGCAAGGTGGTGGTGTTCACTGCGGACTCAGTCGGTGCCTCGCTGCCCTCCCTGCCTGGGCTCGGGTTCCCGGGTGGGCAGCGGCGGTTTGTTGGTATCGATGGAGGAAAAGGGCCGTATCAAGTGCCGGGAACGCTCTGCAAGTTTAATGAGGCAGGAAGGAGGTGCATCCAGCTTCAGCTTGGACACTGCTGCCTGGTTCCTCTCCTTGCGTTACAGTCAGGAGGGCTGGGGCTATTTTGGGCTCCGCTTTATCTAACATCCGCCTCCATTTGTATTAGCGGAGACCCAAACTTGGCTCTTTTGTGCCCGTCTCTAATGCAGAACCAGCAGTGTCTGGCAGAGACTGGGCTCGCCTCTGCTTTATCATTTGCCCGTGTGCCTTGGTGCTGCAAGTCATGTTTTTGCTGAACTTGCCCTGTGCCTGCTGGGACCTCTTTGTTTGTCCCGGGACAAAGCAGTAATTCTTTAGCAAATAAAACCCAGGGTGCTGCATACCTGACTCCACGTAAAAGCAAATACTCCGTTGTTCTACGCAAGTGAAATAGTTGTGCAAGTGTCACGCTGAGACATCAGGCATTTGGAGAAAAAGGGTACCCGGCCGGAGAAGCTTGGAACAACGCCTTTCCCTGCATCCCGGGCTCCTGTTCAGGCCATCAGACCTTCCCACCCACCCTGCTGCGCTGGTCTGTACAGGCTGCTCTGCAGTGCCTAGAGGTGCCGGCCGAGGCAAGGGCTCTGCAAAACAAAATACAGGAGAGCAAAATCATGCTGGTGTGGCTGCAAGGTCCCGTTGCAGGGCAGAGCCGGGAGGGGAGGGCAGCCCTGCCTGCTGCCCCGTGGGTGCACTGCGTGGGTGCTGTGGTCACTGAAAGCCTCTTTGCTTTCCAGCCTGTGCCTTCGCTGGTCTCTGGAACTGTGTCACAATCAACCCCCTGAACATCGCGGCCGGCGTGTGGATGATGTGAGCAGAGTTTCTTTTCTTTTTTCTGCTGGGAGGGAGGTTCGGTTCATTAGACAGCGCTGAGCAAGGGGCAGAGCTGCCCTGCTTGGGCAGTGGACGTGAGCGAAATGTCCGTCAGGCTCTGTGAATTGCCAGATCTTGTCCATCGGGTGGGTTGAGACGCTGGGTTTATTCTGTTTATATTCTTTCTTTACCCCTTTTTAGGTAGATACTGAGATACCCTTATCCAAGATAAGTCTGGGGCACTGGGGTTTGGGAATTACCGAGAAGCGGGGAGGGAGCGCAGTGAGGTCCAGCCCCGCCGTCCCCTTCTGCCTGCGTTTGGGCACGGGAACGGCTGGTCTCTGGGGGCCATCGCTGACCCTCGCTCTGGGCCACGCGGGCAGGATTAACTCTGGTTTGTTCTGTCTGGAGGCTCAACGCCTTCGTCCTGTTCCTGTGCGAAGCACCCTTCTGCTGCCAGTTTATCGAGTTTGCGAATGCCGTCTCTGCGAGGGCGGACAAGTTGCGGCCCTGGCAGAAAGCTGCTTTCTACTGCGGGTGAGGATGCTCCTGGGGTGTGTTGAGGTGGTGAAACCATCCCTGGAACCGTGTTGGGATGCATGTGGGCACGCCGTGATGGACGAGCATCCCTGCATCCCGTGGGGAGCGGAGCCTGGCTTTGAGGGCTGCCTCTCTCTTCCAGGATGGCCGTGTTCCCGGTCATGCTCAGCCTGACGCTGACCACGCTCTTTGGAAATGCCATTGCGTTTGCCACCGGGGTGCTTTACGGCCTGTCGGCACTCGGCAAAAAGTAAGAGAGATCTGTCTGCTTGTGAAGGGGAGGGAAGGGGAAGGTGGACCTCCAGCCCTCGCCCCCATCTGTCTCCCTAAGGCAATGCTTTCCTCTTGTACTAACCACGCTTTTGGGTATAAATGCTGCCGGAGAGCATCTCCCTGCCGTCATCTCAAAGCCCTGGGAGGGAAGGTCCTAGAAGTTCTGAGCTTTCCCTTGGGAGCTCAACCGAGGTTGCCCTGCGGGTCCCAGCCCTCCTCCTGCAGCTGTTGGAGAGATGGGCCCAGCTCTGGGGGGCTGAGCGGCTTTGGTGGGGTTGGAGAGGGCCAGCAAGTCTCATCTCGCTCCCGGCATCCCTCAGCACGGAGAGGCCCTGGCCCTGATTGGGACACCTCTGTGCCAGGCGCTGTGCCCACCACAGTGGGCACCCGGAGCTCACGTCCCCACGCTGTCCCTTCTCTCCGCAGGGGAGATGCCATTTCCTATGCCCGGATCCACCAGCAGCAGAAGCAAATGGATGAAGAGAAGCTCACGGGGGCCCTGGAGGGACAGGCTCTCTGAAGCACGTGAGCTCAGGGTAACCTCTCCTGGACACTGGGATGTTGGTGAAGATATAGAAACCCGCTCTGCCCTTCCCTCTGCCCTCTCTGTTACGCCACAATTTCCCTGGACGCTGCAGCAACTGGAAATCTCAGGGGCTGGGACGGGCTGTGCCCTCTTCTCACACCAGCAGCCAGACCTCAGCGCGTTGGCCCCTCTCTCCTCCTCATCCCTCAACCACATATCTCACAGCCCCGCTATTTTTTAATTTTTAATTTATTTCGGCTTTTTGCTGCAGAGGTGCTGACTCTCTGAGTGCTGCTTTACAAGCCTGAGTAGGTAGCCTTTCCTTGGAATGACACCTGATAACGAGCCGAGGATGCATCCTCGTTTGGGAACCGCTGTCCGGCTGGGGTGAGGAGGGACAGAGCTGACGTGCTCTTGATGAGCTCCTTGCCTGTGCCAGGCTCACGGGAGTCAGGGAGCTGCTGGCCTCGTGCCTGGGGGTACCCTGCCATTGCACGTTTTTAGTAACCCTCTCTGGTGCGGCCCTTCCCAGGTGTAATACGCTAATCCAGGGGTTAGCAATACATGGCGATGCTTAAGCTTGGTCTTCAGCCATTGAGTATATTGTAATACGGGTCCGGTTAGGCCGGGCGTCGGGGACATTGCTGCACGGGAAAGGACCTCCAGCAAAAAACCCGTATAAAGACAACAACCATCTCTGCAGAGGAGCTGGGGGAGATCCTGATACCACAAAGCACAGTCCCCTCTTCCTCTGGATACAGCTGCAGGCGATTATTGCAATTTACTTGAATTATAAGAATTAATTACTTTGTCTTAATAAGGGTACTTTTCTTAAGCTTCACTCTTTTACTGGGGAAGAAGGGAAATAAGGTTTGCTTTACCTCAGCTGAAAAAGGGTACTATTGCTTGAGCCAAGCGGGACGTTTTGCTGGTGTAAGGGTTACTGATGTGCAAAGAGCATCCTTCTCTCGTGAGCCTGGGACTCTGTTCTCTCTCACTCCCTGCATCCACTCCTGCTCCCGTGACCCATCCCTCCGCACAAGGGATGTGCTCTTTGCTTCTGTCGGTACAGCCTTTCTCTTTGGGCTCATGTTCTTTTTGCATCCGTCCTGGGCTGGTCTTGTATGGGAAGGTGGCGTATCCTTCCTTTGCAAACATAGAGAAGTCTGTACCATTTCCGTGTGGATAGCTGGGACGTCTTGTTTCTTTATTCCAGGCTCCGTCAGTGGTTTTCACATCCTATTTTCTGTTTGTTTTGTATCATGCAGAATGCTAAGTCCAGACCCCTCTCTTCTCATCGTGGTTTCTTCTGGGGGGTTTTAATTTATTTGATTTTACATGATTGCTTTTTGTTTTGATTAGGAAAAGGGGGAATAATTTATTACTAGTTATTTAAACATTTTGATGAGACTCCTTGTCTCTGGACATAAGAGAAAGGAGTGCTCTGTTTCGTGTCCTTCACAAGACTGCTTCATTTCATGGGGGGTGTCTCTGAACCCAGGGAGAGCCCTGGCTGCTGTAACTGGGATGCTGTACCTGGAATACCGTAAAATCCAATTTCAGCTTTCAGAGCGTTTCTCAGACTTTTGGAAGGCGTGCTGTCCTTTGACCTCTTTGTCATTTTCTGGGCCACTGGCTTGACAAAGTTTTTGTTTTCCCCCTCTTCTGGGAGAGAGAAGGGAGGAAAACCGGGCTGCAGCTGCTGGACTGGAGGTTTGTGCTCACTCGGCAGCCAAGGCAGGTAGCGGCTACGGCGAGCAGCGGCAGCGGGGACTGCAGCCTCTTCTCACTCCTCTGCCCTGGAGCTGAGCTCCCGCTGCCACCAACGCTTTTGAATCGCCGGGTACCAGAGGGGTTGCACCGTGGTCCGAGAAATGCCGCTGGAGGCTGACTGCTGTCTGTCAGACGAGTCTGTCCGCCCGCCGCTCTGCGGCTTCTGAGCAGTGTCGTGTTGGAAACTGTCTATATAACGTGGTACGGTGCGTAGTCACGCTAGCTGAACGACAGCAGAACGTCCCTGGCAGAGCCCGCGGGGAGCCGCTGCTGGAGCGGGAGGCTGGGTACGGACGTAGCGTTGCAGCGGGAGCAGAGCGGTCCCTGGGGATCGGGGGGCTAAGCTGTCGGCTAATGTCGGTTGTTGTTGCTTCAGTGGAGTTCAGGGAGGTGTGAGGATTTACAGCGGGCAGGAACACGGCTTGGGTTTATTTGCCCTTGCAGCTGGATGCTGGGTAGCCACTTTGTGCTAAGCCCCTTTCCCCCCAGGCCTCTGAACCGCGATTGCTCCGACACCAGCTTGTCTGGGACGCAGAACAGGCACCGCCAGCCCAGATGCAGCTTGTTTCAATACCGGCTGTGCCATCTCGCAGCCCCCGGCTCTGGGCTGAGCCCTCTTGCTGCGTGCAATACAGGGGGCACCGGCCTTCCTCGGGCGTGCGTGCAGGGACCGCAGCCTCCTGCGTGGGGCCTCTGAACCGCGATTGCTCCGACACCAGCTTGTCTGGGACGCAGAACAGGCACCGCCAGCCCAGATGCAGCTTGTTTCAATACCGGCTGTGCCATCTCGCAGCCCCCGGCTCTGGGCTGAGCCCTCTTGCTGCGTGCAATACAGGGGGCACCGGCCTTCCTCGGGCGTGCGTGCAGGGACCGCAGCCTCCGGCGTGGGTCACGCTGCCTGCGGTCGTGGGTGCTGCAGGAGGAATACGCTGCAGCCCACGGGATTCTTCGGTGCTAAGAGCCTCTCTGCTCTTCAAGCCAGCCGTGTCCCTGTGCAGCACCTTTACTGGGTGGTTCAAGTGCAGAGTCCTGCCTAGCAAACAGGACATCTTTGTTTTCAGGGGGTTTTGGGGAAGTTAAGTAGTGTTTAGTAGAGGAATGGTGCAGACGGATGCACGTAGCTACGAGCATGTCTTTGGTAGTGACTGCTTTGCTCTGTGAGTAGTTCTACAGTAGCTTTAGTGTCAGGAGGTGAAAGGCAAAGCAGAGGCGATGATAGAGTAACGCTTGCAGGCTGGTCTACACCCGCAGTGATGAACCACAGAACTGGTAGGACCCTCGCTGGCTTCATCTGATTGCTGCTGGTCCATGGCACTGGGACAGTCCTGGGGCTGGCACAGGCAGATGCTGCTCCAGGTCACCTGGAGAGCTCATTGGCACGGACGGGTCCACTCTGCTCCCCTGGCACCAAGGGCAGAAGCCCTTTGGGTGCCAGCAGTCCTGTCGTGCTGTGTTTTGCAGCAGTCAGGTCTGACGCTGGGGCCAAGGCAAGCGAACAGTCTGCATCAGCTCTGCCACCGTTAGCAGGTTGCAAACCTCAGCTCTGAGCTCGACGCTTTCGTTGAAAATGGGTCTCAGGGACTGTTCTGTGAGATGAGCTGGAGCCTTTGGCCACGGTGCTTAAAGACACCGGGTTTGTCCAGTGTTGCTGTGCCTGCCGCAACAGGAGGGGTCTCAGATCTGTGCTCCAGAGGTGCTGGTGCCTGCAGGTGTGCAACCGGAGTGGAAGCTGTTGGGAATTTCGGCTGTCTGTGATGCAGCTGAAACCAAGCCAGATGCTGCCATCGTTGCAGACGTGGCCTGGCAAAGTGTGCATGCAGGGCCGGCAGCGCCCGTGGCTGTCAGGAGTTGTAGTGACAGTTAGTGGATGGTCTCACCTCGGTGTGGGCAAGAGACTGTTTTTGTGGAGATAGAAAGGACCTTTAGAGTAGTAGCATCACAGTAGTTAATATGCCCATTCACAGTGCATGGTGGTCATTAATTGTGTTTAGAGGCACCATCAGGGTGCGTGGAGCTGCGTAAGGATAACTGAAGTTAAAAGCCCTGCTCTAGAGATTTTACAGGCTCAACCCAACCCCCGCTGACGGTGTCCAGGCTGGATGGCTAATCCATGGGGTCTCTGTGGAAGAGGTTCTGCTTGCCAGGTCTTGGAAAGGACCATCTTGGGAGACGATGGGACAGAAGTTTTGTTACATGAGAACTCAAGAGCGGGTGATGCATTGACTACAGTGAGTTGTTGATGAGTGTGGAAAGACACCCAGGTACTGGCAGCATAAGTGCGCTTAGCGATGGACTGTTACACCATTCACCACGTGAGCTGTGCGCTTCTTACCCACGTGCATTTATACAGCGTGCAACTCTTCCCTGCCCCATTCAGTCATGAGGCTGACAGCACTTGTGCATGTTAGCTCCACTGTCCCCTGGGGCTGTCCATTGGGCGTGAAGCGAAGAGCAGAACCTCGCTTTCTGCTGCGTACCCAGACCTCGCTGGTCTGGGCAGGAGCTGATTTTGTAACACCAATTGATTCTCTGTGTGTGCAGTGAATAAAAAGACCATTCTACCTCTGGAAAGAGCCACTGTGATTTCTCAGACTCTACATGTTGTAGCAAAACCCCTCAGACTTTCTATATGGAAGACAGGAGGTCACTCAGAAAATATTTCTCCAATGAGGTTCTCGCAGGACCTGAAGAGTCCAACCTCATTTCATATTTGGGCATTGCCTCCTTAGGCTGAGTGCTGAGAAGCTCAATTCATCTTTGTCATTTTTTTTTTCCTCAGGAAAAAAACATCCACTGTCTTCAGGGAAAGGTTTCACTGAAGCGAAGGTATCAAGACCTGGTCCATAGCCATGTGAGAAAGAGAATGCTCTAGCACAGGGCTGCCAGAGATCCTGATCTTCAGAAGGTCAGTGGAAACCAGAGGCTCTTGAGACCTCTTGTAATCAGGCCATGCTTAGAAACAGTCATATTCCACCCAGGGCTGAACATCTTTCTGGAAATGGGTCTCAGCTGCAAAGGTTAGGTCTAATACTGAATTTTCTCTGTGGTTTTGATTTTTGGCCCATCTCTCTCCCTCTGTCCCAGGCTGCTTTAAATTAATCCTCCGATAAAGCACGTGTTCTATTAGGTGATTTCTCTCATCTCCTGCTGCGTTTCAGGAGGTTGGAGAAATGCTTGGGCAAAGCATCTCCCTGCTCAGCCTCTGCTGTTCTGCCCTTTTGGGAGGAATTAAGTTGGATGTGATACTCAGTAAGACCTTTCATTCCTTGCAGCCATAACCACCTCCTGCAGCTGTGTTTTACTTAGAGTTAGGCTCTAAAAAAATAAAAAAATAATACAAAAAAGAGTTCTTAATCTTGCAGGACACACAGGAAAGGGGTAAGAGCAATTTGCTACTAACTATGCAGTTGAAATCTCAAAGTGATGGAGGTGGAAGCTCCACACACAACCGTGATGGAGGCGCATCCACCTTCTTCTTTGCCTATGAGTAAAGGCCTGGGATGGGAAGGACCCCTCCCAGCATGAAGTATTGTCAGTACCTACTGTGTCTTTCCTCCAGCGAATCACTTGCACTACAGCTGAATGTTCGTCTGTTCCTGTTCTTTGTTTTGTCCTGGATTCTTTTTGTGAACTGTATTTGGTCTTGTTCATTAGGCTTCTAGTGTAATGTGTGTTTTTAGAGCAATAAAACGTGGCAGCTTTTTATACAAAATATCTGGCTCTGCCTCTTTCAAAGTCCTTGAGTACATGAGGCTCATCTGGGAGGCTGCAGGCTGCAGTGGTCCCCTTGTCACAATCCTGGTCTGCCTCTCCCATCCCACCCACCTGCAGTTCCCTTCTCAGCAAATCAAGGCAGCGTCTTGCAGTTGAAGGCAAAACTGTTTTATTCTTGCAACTACATGATGAACTTTTGCCAAAACTGCTACAGCTGTTAACTCTGTTCTAGCCAAACCCTGGGGCTCTTGGGCTGCTTTGGTGGCTGCTGAGCAAAGGGTGTGCGTGGTCTCTTGTCCACAGCCACGTGTTCTGTTTTCCAGGACATCTTTATCTCCAGCCTGGCACTGGTTACCTGGTCCCATACCTCAGGTTGAAATGTTGCCCAGAGAGCAACAGGTAGTGTTGAATGACAGGAAGAGAAGGTAAAGTTCCAGTTGGCAACTTCTACATCCAAAGCAAGATGGTCATTGCCGCCCGTTCCTCTCCCATTGCCTTTGCAGAGAGCTCCAGCTTCCACCTCCAGCAGCACAACCATTTTCTTTGCCCTTGAGCATGTGGACTGGTGGCCCAGCATGGCTGGCAGATGGCAGCTCCTACCTCATGAATGACCTCCGGCCAGTCCTGAAGAAGGCCTCGATCTGTTCCAGGGACCTGCCTTTGGTTTCTGGAACGCAGCAGCCTGTGAATAAGATGTTCCCGGCACAGATGACAGCAAAGAATAGGAAGGGCACCTCGAGGCCAAAGGCATCCTGGAAAGCGGAACAGAAAGTAGACATGAGCTGGTGTAGAGAGGGTCTTAGGAGGGGCTGCTGGACACCCTCCTGGGGCAGTACCCACCACAACACGGAGGAAGAACTGGGTCAAGGTGAAGGCTGTCAGCCAGCTCACGACGACACAGAGGCCTGAGGCCACCCCCCGGGCTTTCAGAGGGAGGATCTCAGACATCAGCAACCAAGTGATGGGGCCCCAGCCCATGGCATAACCTGCAGTGGAGGATGGGTAAGGTGAGGCTGTTGAGGCTTCAAAACCCACTGGTGAGTGCAGAACAGCCCTGTGCAATCCTGCCCTGCTCCCACATCAATCGTTATTCCCCCCATTCGTGATCTGTCAGTCCTCAAAGTGACTTCAGGTGCCATCTTTCTTGGTCTTCCAGGGATATCTGCCTGCCTTCCAACTCCAAGCCCAAATGTTGCTCTGGATCACCCTGCCTTGGATGAGAATTGTCCCCACCAGGCTGGTACCCAGCCCTGTGCTGTGGGTCCTGGGCTCTTGCTCTCTGCACCTACCCATTATGAAGAACATGGTTGCCAGGAGGGGGATGAGGGTGATGTTTTCAGGAAGGTTGGCAGAGCTCACCAGGGTCTTGTTGGCAATGGTTCCATTCTGAGAAGGTGGCATGAAGTGGATATAGAGCCCCATGGTCAGGTTGGAGACCAACATGACACCAGCTGTGGAGAGATGCAACAGCATAGTGAGACCGATGGGTGAGTGATCCCCTCTATGCCGAGGGCCGAGGCTCCTGGGAGCACCTCTGCTCAGGAGAGGAGCTATGGACACAAACTGGAACACAGGAAGTTCCATCTGAACATGAGGAAAAACTTCTTCACTTTAATGGTGACCAAGCACTGGAACAGGCTGCCCAGAGAGGTTGGGGGGTCTCCTTCTCTGGAGAGATTCAAAACCCACCTGGACACCATCCTGTGCAACCTGCTCTGGGTGATCCTGCTCTAGCAGGGGGGTTGGACTAGATGATCTCCAGAGGTCCCTTCCAACCCCTACCAATCTGTGAATGTGTGAGCTGACCACCACCAAAGGAAAGACACCTCTCTCACTTCCTGCCTGAGTCCTGTATGGCTGAAGTTTCCACTCTTGCATGTTTGCAGAGCTCCTGGAATTCCTTAAATAAGAGCTTCCCTTGCACAACAGTGGCAGAAACATACCTGATACAAAGAGAAGAATCTTCCTCCCAGCTTTATCCATCGACACAGCAGCAACCGCCACTGAGAACAGACGTACCAAGCCAACAAGAGCTGCATCGTACTCTGGTTTCTGCAACAGCAAAAGCAGTGGGGAAGCTGAGATAGGGGAGCCAGGGAAAGGGCAGGTTCCTACACGTGTTGCCTTGACTCTGGCTGATGCCTTTGTCAAAACTATCCTCCTATAATAAGAGACCAGAGAAGGAGAGCCTGAAGCTCAGAGGAGGAGAACAGGGAGAGAGTGGGGCCAGTCCTGCTCCCCATCCTCATGCAGACTTTTGCAGGGCAGGTGCTTGGCAATTGCTGCCAACCAGGTGCTTTAAAAAAGGCTTCAAAGTTGGGGCCTTAGGGCTGCAGGGGAGTTGGAGCATCAGGCAGCCGTCACTGGAGACGGAGCAGTCCGAACACGGGCTGAACCAAGGGCTCACCAGGATGACAGATGTTTTCTTGAATATTGACTGCAGGTACACGAGGACGCAGGTGACACCGGAGAGCTGCTGCAGGAATCTCATCCCCACTGCAATCAGGATGGGCTTGTAAATGAAGGGGTCCTTGATCTCAGCACAGGAAATCCGCTGGCTCTGGAGTGGACAAAGCCAGAAAGCCTGGGTGTTACCACCTCTGGGCTGCACTGCGGCACCCAGAAGATGGCTCAGGAGTTGCCCAAAGGAGAATGGATTTTGCAGTTTTCACGTTACATCTGTCCCGTGATGGAGGTGAACCTCCTCACCTGCTTCCTCACGCTGTCCTTGATCTGCTCATATTCCCTGGCATAGTCCGTGTCCTTGCCCCGCAGCCAGCACAGCGACCTCAGGGCCTCATCATCCTTCCCCTGGGAGACCAGGAACCGGGGCGAGTTGGGCATGAAGCAGAGCAGGACGATCATCGTGAGCACGGGCACCTCCCCTGCGACAGCCAGCCAGCGCCAGTCCAGGACCAGCCCTGCCGGGGCAGCACGGTTAGGGGGGAGTCCTAACCCATGGGCACCCCAGCAGCAGAGATTTAATAAATTCAGGGGGGACAAAAAATAATCCCCAAAACTGGAAGGATATTTTCCATGTTTTTCAACAGCATTTTCAGCTGGGAAATTGCAGCAAGATTCCCCCACATCTTAGAGGATCCAGCAAGATCCTGCAGCAACCAGGCGTGCGCTGGCAGGAGATGCACACGCAGTTCCTCACGTGCTGCCCTTCAGCCCTGATGAAACCTTGGCAGGACCCAGGTCTCCGAACCCCAAAATACTTGCCGAGCACGTAGAGGATGAGGGAGCCCAGGACTGCCATGATCTGAGGACAAGCGCCCAGCATGCCTCTGACCCCAGGGTGGGAGATCTCCGAGATGTAGACCTGGAGCAGGAGAACACACGCTTAACGGAGCTGCAATAGACAGCCATCACCACCAAAACCTGTCACCTCACAGCCATCCACTGTGGCCAGGGGGAACCCAGACTGCTGGGCAGCTGCCCTCTCGGGGTGGAAACCTGACCAGTCCAGGGGCAGGAGCTGGTCCTGGCTGGGGGAGAGGACAGCCTTGCAGGCATCGCTGCTTCCCTCCCTTGCCCTGGCATGGGAGGAGTGCTCCAGCAGCACGCTTAGGCTCCCATTGCTGGGGACATGCCCCGGGTTACTCAATTCTTGCCTTCTCCTCTTCACGCAACATGAGGTTGGTGTTGGTTAAACATGGGAGGAAATAACTGCCGGGAGGAACAGGGCAGGGATGGAGGACCTGCCTTCCCTTTTCTGTGGGCAAGAAAGTCCAGCACTGTGGAGGCAGCTCGGGCTGGCTGTGCCAGGGCCGCTAGCCCAGTGCGCCCTCCCCATCCCCAATCGCCGCAGCCCTGGAGCTCTGCTGATGCCTCCAAAGAGTGGTGGGGAGCACCAGGCTCAGCTACGGCACCGCCGTGCAAATCCCCGGCAAACTCCCTCCCATGGCACGTTACTGGGATGGAGGCAGACGTCACGCCGCCCGCGTAGCCCGTCAGCACGCGGCCCAGCAGCAGCATCCCGATCCCCTGGGCACCGGCCATCAGCGCGTATCCCACGGCGGAGGGCAGCGCCGAGAACATGATGCTCAGCTTGCGGCCCAGGCGGTCATTGAGGACCATGGCGCTGAGCCCTCCCGCCGCCGCTCCCAGCGTGAACACTGACTGTGGGGAGACACGGAGAGGGGCTTCGGTGGGTCCGGGGTCTCCCCACACACCCACCGGCTCTGCCCACCCCCGGCAGGGACAACCCCGTTCCTCACCCCGAACCAGGATGCGGTGTGCTGGTCCCG